TACGTTATCTTCTCCTGGTTGTAGGTTTTCCAGGATACTGGGAAGACTGTTTATGTTGTGGATTAGGACTTCTAGTGTTGTTCCTAGCTTTTCTGTAACATTTGTAAGGATTGTCAGGCTGAAGAATCACTTTTTGTTCTGGGCTGTCAGAAAACTCAAGGTTTTTTGTCAGAGCAAGTGAGGTCAGGAGTTGGAAGGAGGAATCCCAGTCGCTGCTAGGAAACAAGGTAAGATGACTGGAATCTGAACGTAGCACTCAGCCCAGAAGGCATCTCGCCCCTGCTTGTCAGCTTGGGAATCTCTGTGTGATGGTGGATGGAAGTGGTGTTACGTCACTGTCTCTTGTGATTTTTAAGGGAGGTGAGGCCTTGTCTGAGAGGAGTGGATTCACACCACCAGAAGCAAAGGACATAGTTCCTACCACGTAAGGTTCCTGAATGAGAAAGGAGTGGGTCATACAACCTCCAACCAAAGCAGCTACACAAATGATTATGGGGAAAGATGACTAGGAAGACAGGATGCTTGTGAGCCCCTACCACACTGTTCATCAGGAGAAGTGGGAGGGAGATGGCCTCTGTCAAATCCATCACATTTTAGTTTACAATCTGAGCTTCCTATATTCCCTCTTTCTCTCTTTTTAGGCTGTGATCCTGCTTTTGTCTCTGCTGCTAAAACTTGGGTCAGCTGCCCCTCACACAAGTCAGCATGCCTGATGAAAGGGAGACCCACCTACCCCTTCCTGAGCAAGAGCTCTACAGTGAGGATGAGGACACAGACGAAGAATTGTTCCTTGAGCCCGAGGAGGACATCTCCTATTCTTCCCCCTCCCCTTCTCCTCCCCTTTTGCCCCCCTCATCAGTGCTTTGCAGCACTGAGGAAGATACTGCAGGGATACCCAGTACTCCTCAGGGCCCTGTAGCCGAGAATGCCTCCGTCAGTGCTATGATAGGTACACCAGAAAACATAAATATCAGCAGCCCAGGAAATGAAGTTATTGCAGCCATCCCACAGTCACCACCAGATGCTGCATATCTACCGCAAACCCCTATAGATGAGAAGGTGGCTATGCTGGTAAATTATCTGCTATTCAAATACCAAACAAAAGAGGTGGTGACTAAGGAAGATATGGTGAATGCTATCATTAAGGAGTATGAAGAAAATTTCTCTGAGATCATTCTGAGGGCCTCTGAGCGAATAGAGATGGTGTTCGGTCTTGATGTCGTAGAAGTGGATCCCGTCAGTCGGTGTTATGTGCTCCGCATCAAGCTAGATATCACCTATGATGGCTTGTCAAGTGAAACGGAAGGCATGCCCAAGACCGGCCTCCTCATTCTTGTCTTGGGTGTGATATTCATGCAGGGCAACAGAGCCACTGAAGAAGAAATCTGGCAAGTGCTGAATATGATGGGCATATACTCTGGAATGAGCCACTTCATCTTTGGAGATCCCAGGAGGTTGATTGTCAACGATTTTGTCCAAGAGAATTACCTGGTGTACCACCAGCTTCCTGATTATGACCCTCCACGTTATGAATTTGTATGGGGTCCAAGAGCCAAAGCAGAAGTCAGTAAAATGAAGCTGCTTGTATTTCTGTCCAGAGTTCATGGAGTTGATCCCACCTTTTTCCAATCGCAGTACAGTGAGGCTGTGAAAGAGGAGGAAGACAGAGGCCATGCTAGTGCTTCAACCAGTTCAGGTGCCTCCTCCTCCACGGCCACCGGGAGTTCCTGTGCCACCTTTAGCCGCTGCTTCCACCCCTAATGAGGTAGGAGGTACAAGCCTCACTTTGGTTTTGACAAGCTTTCTAATTATGGAGGGCTGGAGAAGAAAGAACAAAGGGTATATGTGGATGTCTAGTTTCTTGTTGTATTTATCCTTTTATGGGGCCATTATTCAAATGTTTATATTTAAAATCTTAGTATATGTGCAAATAATAGTGCTTTGTATGGAAGTGGTGAATTAGTTTGGTTTTGATAACAGTTCTATTATCCAACTAGAAGCAGCATTTTTACACTTACGTAAAATCATATGCCTTTTAAGGGAAAGAGATAAAATGTTTAAAGTTTTATGTGTTATGCAGGGTTTTCCTGTTCTTTTAAAGCACTGTGTTCTCTCTTATGCCCTAAAAAACAAAAAGAAAAACAACACAAAAACCTTACAAAGCTCAGAAAAAGGCAGTAAAGATTTCAGAAAACTTAATCTCAGCAATAACTCTTTCTTTTTTATATAAACTACACATACTCTAAGAATCCTACTAGATAAGGGTTATCAAACACACTTCTTCCGATGAAGAAACAGACTCAGAGCATTTCAGAATGCGAATTAACCGAGTAGATTTTTTTCTTTATTTCTGTTGTTGAGCTTCTACACAGCATAACATATTTCAGTTGCCCTGTTTCTCCATGCACCATTTGGTGCCATTGATTGTGTTACTGGAGGTCTGTGGCCCTCCCTACCCTCCTTTCTGACTTGGTCCTTTACTAAGGTTCCTGTCTGTTCTTTCCAGTTGCTGTTGCCACTTTGATCTCAAAGAGGTCATTCTTAGGGAGTTCTGGTGGGCTACTGGCAAGAAGCTGCACTGCAGTTCTGAAGGTGGGCAGTTTGAATCCACCAGATGCTTCACTGGAGAAGGAGTGGCAAACTCCTCCTGTGCCAGTCGGATCCAATTCGACGGTACACCAAATTAAGTGATTTTTTTTTTTAAAAAAAAGAGCTAATATTCAAAGAGCATAATCCTTAAGGCAGGCCTCCATTTATGAGTTAAGCTAATCAATAGTTTGGTTTAAGACGATTTGAAGGAATGTTTTTGGCTTGTGGTTTAGAGATTAAGCCAGTGTGATATTTCTTAGGGTTTATCCAGGCTCAAAGAGTCCTTAAGAATTTGAAGCAGAGCTAATACACACTCCTGAGCTGCATTCCCTTACTTCACACTCTGTCCTATTTCTCCCTGCCTGAGGCCAAACTTCTTTCTCTTATTTTATTTTTTTTAATTTACTTTTTTCATTAATTTTAATGAAAGTTTAGAGAGACTTTGGATTTCCATTCATTCATTGTTGTACTTTTCTCCCTGCCTGCTCCTCCCTGAGTAGTCTCTTCTCTTTGAAAAGTAAAAGAAAAATTCTTTTATTGTTTTACAATGCCTTCCCCAGGTCCACTCCACTATGCAGCCTTCTTTCTGGACTCCTGTCATGACAATAATACCTAATCATATATCCCTTTTAAACAGTTCTCTCCCTCATCTGTTTCAATGCAGTATACAGAATTTATCCCATCTTTTCATTACTCTGCACTGTCTCTCAAGTGACGTACAGAAGGACTCTTAGTCCAAAATACTATATACATGCCAAAAGCTAAAGGTGAAAATGAGTATACAAGTCATTTTGGACACGTGTGTGGGTATCATCCACATCTAGTGATAGAACCAATCCTTACTATAAAAATATGACCAGAAACATTATTTTTTATTTACAGATCAAGGCAATTGAGAACCAGTATGCTGCCACCATATTTTCATTCTGTTCAGCAGCACATCTGAAGCTTCCATGAAGAGATGAAAGAACCACTTAATGAAAGCAGCTTGAATCCTTGAGTTACTTTATAGTGCACAATCCCTGTTAGTCTACATCCAGTGTTATCTGCACAAAAATAAATTTTACTGTTTTATGATTTCAAGCTTTGTCTTTTGCATCATTAATAATTACTTTTACTAATGCACAACTATCTTTTGTTAAAAATAATTAAAACCAAAATCCACCACTGTGGAGTGGATTCTAACTTGTGGAGATAGTTTGGTTTTCAGGGGTATAAATTGTCACTAGATCCCTCAACTCTGATGACCTAGTGGTCGCTAAGGAATTGTGCTGCCAACCCAATGGTTAGTGGTTCAAATCCTCCAGATACTCCAAGGGAGAAAGATGTGCTGTCTCCTCCCATGCAGTTTCCAGTTACATGTCATACACATATACGTAACAAAAGATTTTCCATTTTAACATGTTTTATCATATGGAGTTAAGTGTCCTTGGTTATACTCACCATGGTTTTTAGCCATTGCTATACCTTTCTGGTTGGAAGGAGGAGTGGCATCCACTTCCATAATAGCTTGCCTCTGGAAACCCTATGAACCTGGAGAGAGGATGAAAGGCACCCATCCGTCGAGGACTCTCCTTCATAGGGTCGCTATGAGTCGCCTGCAACTCAACGGCACTTAACAACAACATACCTTTCTGGGTTTTCCCATCGCCCTTATAAGTTCAGTGTATCCTAAGGAATCATTGAATCTTCTTAACTCCCTCTCCTCTACCTTCAGCTATTAATGATAAAATTAGGTGTCTTAGAAACTTCTCTTGATATTTCATATAAGTGGAATTCTACAATATGTTTGTCCTTTCTTCCTATTTTTTAATTAATGGATAATAATACACACATTTTTCTTTCACTTGACTGTGCCTCTTAGCAATAAATCAGAATTTCTCCATTGCACACAAAAGTATCCTTTGATTCAGGCTGTGTAAACAACTTGATGTGATAGGAAAGAAGTTGTAAGATCATTTTTTATTCAGTTTAATTTTTTAGAATTACTTTTTTTTTCTTGGGAAAAAAAGGAGGTTTATTTTGTTTCTTAGTCATGGTGTCATTGTGGGAAAGAACACAGAGTGGTCAGGGCAAGTGGGAATCAAATATTATTTTGGGGGGCCCAAACTTCCCAGAATCCAGGGACCCTCCCCAATCTGGGTGCTTGGGGTGAGGGGGATATATGTGGGGGAGTGAGGAGGAGAGGCGGAGCGTGATTGATAAAGCTAGTGTAGAAAAAAGGCACTGGTGGGTTATATCTTGGGCCTGCAGGAGGGTGAAGCCAGGCTCCTTGGCATTCAGGCCTCTAG